ATAAAAAATTTCTAAAGATAACTACTTTTGAAGCTTCATATCTCCATGTAATTTTTATGGTATCCCGGAACAGGCTTTCTGATAGCCATCTGGGAAACTTCAACCTAGAAAATGTCTCAGAGTATAAGAAACCAAGGTAAACAAAGATTTATTCCAGTTCAAATATTTATTTGGAAGATATTTGATGGATTAACATTTTTTATATAAATGTATCTCAACAATTTGCATTTTTAAATGTCTCATCATATTAACACTAACCTGTGCTTAATAGCATTTACTATATGCTTGCAGTCTCCTAAGTACTTGATCCTCACCATGCTATATACTCCAGTCCCATTACTCATTAACTCCATTTTGCTGTTGAGGAAACTGAGGCAGAGAGGAAGAGACAGTATCTTTGCCCGACTTCATACTACATGTGAATAGCAGCACCGTCAGACTGCCAGTCTGGCCCGAAAGTCTACTTACTTAACCACTGTACCAGAGTACCACTCACCACTCTGTGAATCAATCTGCCTACAAATTCACACCTGTCCTTAGCAAGTGGTCTAATCTGATTTAGAATCAGTGCTCTTTCCCATCACACTGTACTGTCTCTCACATTGTCATACTTAAACTTAAGATCTGGAGTAAATCCTTCTACATTTTGATTCTCTTGAGCAGCCATTAACCAAAAGCAGCAGTGTGAGAAAGATTCAGTCCAACACAGACACCACAGAAGCACAGAAGCAGAAAGGGAATCCTGACCACCAGCCCCCCAGCCATAGCAGTAATTCCCGAGGTGCGCTGGAGGATGTTGGCTCCTGGGGCCACACTTATCTTGTGTACTGTGCTTGTCTCTCCTCATTCTCAGGTGTGGTTGATGGAATAGGTACTAGACCAGGGAACAGGAGACCCAGGTTACAGTCTTAGAGCAGCCTCTGACTGGCAGTGCCGTTGACAGGCTGGACATGTGGTCCCTGCTTCACGTACCTAGCTCATTTCACTCTCTCAACTGACCTGTGAGTGAGCATGACCCTAGTTTACAGATGAAGGAATTGTGACTTAGAGAGTTAAGCATTCCATCAAGGTCATAAAAGATGATACTCAGTCCCAGTCTGTCTGACTCTAAAATCTTCACGTATTCTTTGTCAAGTTCCCTTGAAAGTCACTTAAATCCTCTGAATCTCAGACTCCTTAAATATAAAGTACCATGGAGCCCTAGGGATTCTTTGAAGTGTCTCAGAAGTCACTTTGGGTAGGAAGTCCAAAAGGCAGGACCTGGCCCACTCCTTATATGCACGTGGACACACACACACACCCCAAGCAGTGCAGAATAATGCCACTGTGGCCATCTTTATAAATGTGGCTTTCTACATTCAGATTGAAGGGAGGATTTACTGCTAAAAACTTTGAGGCCCATTCTTTCCCATTCTTGCCCATTCGTGATCTTTAAGGCCCCTCTTAGCTTTAATGTCTGGGAGAGGATCAGTGTTGTAAAGGTATCATAACTTTAGTAAATCAAGCCAGTCAGAGGAGACTTTGTATTCCTCTGACTGGGTCATCCAGAATGCAGATATCTGATGCCTTTGAAAGAAAAAAGGCTGTGCCTGAACTCTGCTGATATAACCATAATTTGAGAAAGTGTGTTGATTGCATTTGTAAAGATGGCCTTCTGATACAGTGCCAGTTAGAAAAAACACAGCCTGTTTTCCTCTCTTGTGAGCTCCACCATTCCTTAAGGGCTTCAGTTGGTCAGGCATGAAAGGTATGCAGCATTAGTAGCTTGTTTAATGCTAACTCCTTGTTTTCCCTCTTCCTCTCTATCTTGCCTCATCGTATTTTTACCCTGTCCACCTTCAATACTGTTTACTTTCTGTGGCCCCAAAGCCAGCTGGCAGACCAGGAAGTGAGGGTCTGTACTGGTAGAAAATAAATAAATTCACTTACTCCTTCAAGTCCTGCGTTTCCCACACATGTATTCCTACACAGAGCAAAGCATTGGCGCTTAAACAATAGCCATGAGGCAGGTGTCTTGATGAATGCGTGGGGAGCCAAGTGTGACTTTTCCTCACCCTATAGCTCATACCCCTTCATTAAAAGCTTCATATGTAGAAAATAATAAAGTCGACAAAAAAAAAAAAAAACAAGTGTTAATCATGGTGATGGTGATAATACCTTTCTAAAAAAACAATTATTGAGTTATACTTTATATGCCATACAATTCACTCCTCATTAGTGTACAATGCAATGACTTTTAGTAAATATGCAGTGTTGTACAACCATCACCACAGTCTAATTCTGGAACATTTCCGTCATCCCAAAAAGATTCCTCAAGCTCATCTGTAGTCTCCACCTGCTCTCACCTCCAGTCCTAGGTAACCACTAATCTACTTTCTATCTCTATAGATTTGCTTTTTCTGGGCATTTCACATGAACAGAATCATATGATATGTGGTATTTTTTAACTGGCTTCTTTCAGTTAGCATACTCTTTTTAAGGTTCATTCATATTTTAACATGTATCCTTTATACATAACACCTTTTGAATGGCAGCATTATATAGAGGAAAAAGCATGAGTATCAGAAGCACGCAAACATGGGCTAGAATCAAAGTCGTGTCACTTCTTAGCTGTGTGACTTTGGGCAAGTTCCTCAATCTCTCTAGACCTATTTGTAGAAGAAGAAGAATAATCCCTCCCTCGGCTGAAAGGAAATAGCTGGATTGTGATGACAAATAGTGGGCGCTCAAGAAATCCAGTTCTCTCTAAATTTTGCCAAAAACCTTTGCTTTTCTCATCCCTGCTTCAAACTTTAAAGTGACTCCTACAGCCTCCCTCCCAGCCTTCACATCAAGCTTGAAACAAGAGCCCACATAACAAGCCATATCAGAAACGGATTCCGCCAAAGGGAATCACATCCTTCATTAATGGAGCCCAGATGGTGAGGAACTAAAGGGATTTCCTTCAATTATATTGCTGTCATTTTTTATAAAGAATGTTAAATTGCATTTAATTATTATTGTAAGGAAGGAAAGGTGTCAAATTCTATCCTAGAATATTTTATGGAGTCGGCTTTCCTTTCGCAAGGATCTAGTAACACCTTATTTTCCCACTAATTCTTATACAGCTGCCCCCATTAACATCAACCCTTAGATAACATGTAAGCAAGTAGCAAAGAGCTAAAAACACCAGAGTAAATAACATCCACCTCAAGCCAGGTGCCATGGTGCATTCTCGTAGTCCCAGCTACTCTGGAGGCTGAGGCAGGCGGATTGCTTGAGTACAAGGGTTTAAGACCAGACAGGGTAACAGAGCTAGCACACCTCTCAAAGAAAAAAAATCCACTGGAAATCCTCCAAACTCAACTTTTAGCCAATAGTTTCAGACCCTTTCTTTCCTGAACCTTTAGAAGACCTTGAATTTCGTGTGTGTAGCAAAATAGACTGAATCAAATTCCTTGTTCATTTCTCCAGCCCACCTTCTCTGATTAGAACATGTTCTCATTTTGAGTCCCAACTCAAAGGGATTCTAAATGCAATCCCAACCTATACTGCAGGACGTAAGGTTTACAGAGATGAGACTCCTTAGCCTTGAGAGAGAATTTCCTGTCCTAAATCTGCTTTTCCTTCTGAATTATTGTTTCTCTGTACCTTTAAATTTACCAGTGTTCCTTCACATTTCTGATTTTTCCCTCTCTCTCTCTCCTTGTCTGGGATTTATCACAGTTACATTTCTTCCCCAAACTCCTGAACCACTTAATTCCCCCTCCTTTTTGGAGAATTAAGTGGTTCAGACTTTTGCAGATTTACTTCTTGTTAAGAATAGAATAAGAGTTAAAACAGGAAAGGATAACGTCTCAATATTTTTACCAAAAAAAATAGGGTTATAACATTTTGTTTATCCCTCTCTTCAAGGAGATGATTATAGTGTATCATTTTTCATGATATAAAATGCCTGTGGTCCAATGTAAACTAATTATTAAGAGAGGCAACATATAATAGTCACTATACATATTATTGGAATTAAAGATGGCAAAGAGTGATTCTTTCAAATAGGTAAATTAGATATAATTCCTACAGGTGATCAATTTGTAACATTATCAGGTGAGCAACTGATGTGAACTTCTACTCTGATAAAGTTATACTCACATAGATAAATAGATAAAGGCTATCTTCAGACTGAATCAAGCACTTAAATTAATGTATCAATGTATTTGTATAAGAATTCCTGTGTTTCTTTGCTCTAAGTACTTATCTTGAAAATAGGAACTGTTAACAAAAGCCATGGCTAACTTTTTTCCTCAATATTAAGAGGTGAAAGAAGGGGTAGGTAGGGTCCCAAGAGAGCAGTTTTCACATACTGAATTATCTCCTAATTCAGGCTTGAAAAACCATAAATCTGATGAAAATAAATAAAAATTTGGGGTACAATGTCAGCTTAGGTTTACTGAGATTTGTGAATTTCCCTAATCTTTAAAAACTGTTCTTATGCTAAAACTTACCCCTTCATATCACCACAGTGAAGAGAGTAATTTATATCCAAGACCTTATTTTAGGGATTTTATTTTAGGCGGTATCATAGGAATTTATCTCATGGTATAAATAGTTTAGTAAATCTGGGATTTAGTAAAGATTTTTTTCTCTACAGCACAGGCGTTTTGTTCAGTAGCAGATAACAAAATAATCTTGAGGCATGATGATTTAACTTCAGTTTGATACCCAACCATCCACCCCAAATCTTATGCTCCAAATTCCAGTATGTGGCCAGCATATTGAAAATTCAGTTTTAAACAAATCACTTGATCCATATCTTCTAAATATATATACATATATACAAGAATCACTCAGCCTTCAAATTATAGCTTGGCCTATAGTTTGTGTATAGCTCTCTAGAGAATTTCGATCTCAAGGTTAAAATCTCAAATATGTGGAGATCATCTCTGAGGACTTGGCCACCATAAAATTCTGTCAGCATCCATGCATCATGTATATGAATTACCAAATAATGCCGAGTCTCCTACCCTGAGATGGCAGCCAGTTTTTGGTGTGCCTGACGGGCCATTTCACAGCCTTTGGTTCTTGTCTTGTGCATTTCCGCCCGGAGTGAGGGGCAGCTGACCGAGACATCCCCAATAGAAATGACCAGCTCTCGGTACAGGGCCACTTGTGTGTTGAACTCTTGGACAAGCTGAAAAAGAAGTGAGTTTTTTTTTTTTTTTCACCAAACATTTCTCATAAGAAAGTTTCCCATTTCGGAGTACATAAACAGGGACCTTCACGGACCCCTGAGTCAGCTCCCCAGATCTCCAGCTAAGGAGCCTAGGAATTGTTTAAACCAGAAGGCACCAAGATTTTAAGTCTCTTTGTCAAAGGCAAGTGTTTATTTTCATAGGCAAGCCTGGCCATGGAAGCTCTATTTCTAGACCTGCTTACCCTCGCCCTTCCAGACTCAGTTTCTGAAGAGCAAGAGAGCATATTTGGAGCGCTACCGTGCCACTCCCAGGTCAACAGAGAATGATGCTGGGGACTCCGGCATAGACGCTCCCCTCTGCTACTGCTAGGATGTGGCTTTTAAGTTGCATGGTGGGAGGGGCGGGGGAGACCACAGGTAGGGTGTAATAGGCAAACCACTATTGCTGGGCCACTGAACCTCTCGGCCAGACGGCCTGACGGGAAGACCAGCTACAGGCTCTGCGCTGGAACCTTCGACCCCTCCGCAGCGCCCTGTGCGCGCTGTATTTGGGTTTGTTGCTACTCTCTCCCCAGGAAGCAGAATCCCCACCTCCTCATCCCTCCCTCCCCTGTGAGCGAGCCAGTTCACTGTGTCTTTCGCATCCATCCACCATTCTTCGAGGGGGTAGAGGCGCAGCCCACAGCCGCTGATCCCCAAGACCCTTGTTGTGACACTTCTCTCTGCAGGGCCCTTACGACCGGGGTGTCACCCCGAATTTGGGGGACTGCAGATTTAAAAATAGTGCATGTGCCACGTGATCGGCATTGAGAAGCTGAGGGTGGGGGAGTGGCTGGCACTCAAGCAAATGATTAACATACAGGACTCCCCCCACCCCCTCTCAAAAAAAAAAAAAAAAAGGCGCAGTTTTCACCCACCATCTTGCAGTCGTCCAGGGCTCGTTGGGTTTTGTGGGCGCTCTCGGAGCCGCTGCCCCTGCGCTCCCAATCTCCGCTCTGCAGCGGGGGCTTGCTGATCTGGAAGATTGAGGAGCGGGTGGACCGGCTGGGGCGCTTTTTGCGCCCATTCGGTGCAGAACTCATGCATACACATCCACCAAGCCGAAGCCGCTGGTGCAGTGCGCCCCGGCGCGGGCGGCCCGGTCGTTGCCCTGCGCGCCGCGGCCAAGCACCCGGAGCCCGGACCTGAGGCGCGCAGCTCACAGTGCTGGGGCTGGCTGCGCGGGTCGGTAACCTTCAGCTTGAAGGAGAGCCGGGGAAGCGCTGGCTGTGCCTTGCAGCATCGCTTCCACTAGCAGCGAGGAAGGGGCGCGATCAAGTTCTGCTCAGCAGCATTGCCGACCCTGTCCCGGGAGCTGGGCGCTGGCGCGGGCTCGCTCTGCCTTCCTCTCGGCATGGATTGCAAGGCTGGGCGAGAAGGAACGCGCCGCCCGGCGGTTCTGAGTTTCCATTCAGGTGGGGGAGCAGCTTTCAAAGCCTGCGCTGCAAGGTGGGGGGCGGAAAGGGGTGTCGCTCTTGCTTCAGTGTCTTCCCGCAGCGGCGCTCGGTTCGTCTTTCCCCTCCCTCCACTGTCGCCAGGCCTGGAAGGACTGGCCGTCCCCAAAGCAAGCAATTGGCTCTAATCGGCTGCCTTGATCCCTTGTCTCTAAGGGCTCATCTGTTTGAAGATCCCAGATGAATCTGTGGCGGGACTGGCAGACGCAGAGAATCGGTCCGGCTGACGTTGTTCACGGGCCCGCACATTGATAGGACGGGAATACTAATGTGATCTGTCCATGCAACCCCCTTCCCCCTCCACACTTTATGCACTTATCCAATCAAATCCCCGGGAACATCAATTGCAATATTACTTCATCTGCTCTATTATTAGAAACTAAAAGTGTCATCAGAGTGGAGCACATGCCACATGCTGGGACCTAAACATGGATTTCAAATAAACCAGTTTGGGCTTGAGGCCCTCACCATCTGAGATTGAGACTGTCTGGGGCAGCAGGAGAGAGTGAGGTTTTGCTCCAATTGGAAGATCTCTTGATAACCTAAAAGAAAAGCTTTGTTTCCTTGAGTTGGTTTTGTTTTTATTTTGTCTTTGTTCATGGAGGGGGAAGGAGGAGAGCCAGTGAGGCAGAATGCACAGAGGCATTCACTCAGATTGGTCCTCATCCCCATCCCATTGCAACTAGTAAAGCTCTTGGTCTTGAATTCCAGGGTCTCAGGACCCAGCTCCTAGAGCTCTTTCCAGAGACTTGAACAAATAAGAGCCAAGATGTCTCCCTGGACACTCAAAATGATCTTCTACTCATTTATGGGATATCAGTAACCCAGAGGCCAACAGAGGTGGTACAGAAAAGTGGGGATGATGCCTGCATGAAAAGGAGTGGGGGTGAGGCCCTCAGCCATTTAAGTTCACCCTTCCCACTGACATCCTCCTAAGGTTCTTCTGGGAGGAAGAAAGAGTGTTGTGGGCATTCACCTCTAATGCTTTAAGGATGCTTGTTCTCCTGAATGATTTGTTTGGAGAGGGAGATAAAGGGGTCTGCCATAGGAAAAACTAGCTATGTATTAGTAAGTCTAATAAGTACAGATCAGAGGTTCCTGGTCAGTCTGTTAAAGGGATATGGAGAGCATATGGAAACAGAAAGCCAGAAATAGCCAGGAAGGCTAATATCCTAAGGAGGGTGGCTATACATTTTTTCTTTACAAGACACGTAAACATAATTAGGTGCTATAATAAGAGGATTATTTGGTCTTTGTCCTCAGTTCCTGGTGCAGAACTCCTAAAACCCTTAGAAATTGCCTGAGTTATTAGGATAAGTCATCTTGTCACCAAAAAGACCAAGGCTTGATTAGATGCTTGCATCTTTCACCCTCATCCCCAATCTCAGGGGAAAAGAGAGGAGCTAGTGACAATGGCCAATTATTTAATCAATCATGCCTACATAAAGAAACTCTGTAAAACTCCTAAGTAACAATGGAGTTTGGGGAGCTTCTGGGTTGTGGAAGATGTCTAGATGCTGGAAGAGTGGTACGCCAGGAAAGAGCATGGAAGCTCCATGTCCCTTTCCCATACCTTGCCCTGTGTTTCTCTTCCACTTGGCTTCTCCTGAGTTGGCTCCTTTAGCATAGATGGGTAATAGAGGGTAAAGCTCTTTACTGAGTGCTGTCAGGCTAGTGAATTACCAAACCTGAGAAGGAGGTTGTAGGAACCCCTGAATTTGTAGCCAAGATTGACAGAAGAGTTGGTAACCTGTGGATCCCTTGCTTGTAACTGGCTTCTGAGGTGAGGGCAGTCTTGTGGGACTGAGCCCTTAAGGCTGTAAATCTGGTATTAACTCTGGATAGTTAGTGCCAGAAATGAATTGTAGGCCACCTAATTGGTGTCAGAGAGATGGAGAAGTGCTTTTGGAAAAGACATCCTTTTTTAGGGGGAGGGAAAAACTCTTAACAGGTGGATAACCGAGTGGATATTTGGCTGCTTTTTTTTGGGTTTTTTTTTTTCCTGTGACAGGGCGTTGCTCTGTCACCCAGTTTGGAATTTAGTGGCACCATCACAGCTCACTGCAGCCTCAACTTCCCGGGCTCAGGTGATCCTCCCACCTCAGCCTCCCAAGTAGTTGGGACTACAGGCACATGTCACCACACCCAGCTAACATTTTGTAAAGACAGAGTTTCACCATGTTGCCCAGGCTAGCAACATGAGCTGAGCTCAAGTGATTCATACTTCCCAAAGTGCTGGGACTGCAGGTGTGAGCCACTACACCTGACCAGAACTTCACACAAGCTTGAGAGTCAGTTTTCCCTATCAAAGACTAGAGGAAGGAGGCATCAGCCCTTACCCCCAGACCTCAGTGTGCCGCTATCCTTCAGGTGTTTAGATGGCCCAGAGACTAAGAGAAAGGGCTCTTCTTGCTGGCTGAATCACCCCAAATATAAGAAAATAACCGGTTAGTGCTTAGTCAGCTCCCTGACTCTTTTTCTTTCCTACAGTCTCAAATTCCTTCCTGCCTGACTTCCTTCCTTCCTTCCTTCCTTCCTTCCTTCCTTCCTTCCTCTCAGTCTCTTTCTTTTGTTCATTTGTTCATTTTACAGACTCTTACTCTGTTTCCCAGGCTGGAGTGCAGCCTTCTGAGTAGCTCCACAGACATACCTTAGTTGGCTGCTCCTGAGCTGTATTCTTTACAATAGACTGGTGATAGTAAGTAAATCTCTTTCCTGAGCGCTGTGTCATTCTAGTGAATTATCAAATCTGAGAAGGAGGTTGTAGACACCTCTTCCTGCAATCTGAGCTGAGTGGACCATAGGCATGTGCTACCATGTCTGGCTAACTTTTGTATTTTTAGTAGAGATGGGGCTTCACAATGTTGGCCAGGCTGGTCTGAAACTCCTGACCTCAGGCGATCTGCCTGCCTCAGCCTCCCAAAGTGCTGGGATTACAGGCATGAGCCACAGGGCCTGGCCCCAGTTTTCTTTCTACTTCATGTGTGTAAAGAGAGAAGCAGGGAAATACATCAGGTGCCTGGGGTTCGTGAGGGATGAGGATGCTTCGGATGATGAGGAGGAAGATAACAGAGAGGCTGAGGAGCTTTAAAGAAGGATGGATAATATTCATTTGTAGATGATTTAAGTCCTGTGTTATAAACCCCTTTCATGATCACTAGCTTACCCTTGCACCCTCCACACAACTTTCAGGAAAAAGACTGCTATAACCCATTGTTGGTGGTGCTTTGGAGAATTAAGGGAAAAGGGGCTACCTTTTACATGTGAGTGAACATGGGTTGGAGAGATAAGACACTGGAGATCAATCTGCTGGAAATCTTTTTCCACGGCTCTGTTGCTTCTTCCCCTTTTCCTGCTTGGAAATAGCCACTTCTACCAGATTTGAGCATCTCAAAGCTACTGAGTAGTAGGTTTCTACTCCAGTTACAACCATCTGGTTTCTAACCCCCACCTCACTTCTTCTGCCTAGAGACAATTTTAACAAATTAAAAGAAAAAAAGGCAATATAATTGCACTGCCCTGTTTCTATGCCATATTTCTTGCAGGAGCTGGGGGACAGGGAGCAGGGGATGGAATAAATAGGTCAAATGCAATGCCACATCTGAAGGACTACTGACTTAGGAACCTGCTGGGGGATTAAGCGGAAATTGTCTCTCATAGGTGGCCCTTGGCCTTCCCTGATACATAGCCCAAGCCATTTTCCTGAGAAGGGAGAAAAATAGCATCAATCTCAGAGCTGTCTCTCCCAGCCAGCGACAAATGCTGTAATCAGAATAGCAGCAGGCAGGCTTAGTTTCCTAACCTTCCCCCACATTCAAAACTGCATGAATTTACATTCCTGAGGCTGTCTGACTGCCAAGTAGAAGGGTAAAGTGTAGTTGGAAATCTCAACAACAGACACATTTTCTGGTTACCCAGATCTGATTTTGGGACATCTCTGATCTTTGGTCCCCTATAAGTAAGTGACTTTGACAAGAGTCACATCCTAGATTCACTCCAATATAAGACATATCTTACATTTTGTGTTCTCTCTGTGATAGTTTTGAGAATTCATTTTGATTTGGAATTTTAAAAAAAGAATATCAGTTTAGAATAAATATGAGCAATTGCTGAGTTTCTTCAAATTGGTTCTATAGGGAACCATAGTGGGACCCAGAAAGGAGCACCTCATAATGGATTGGCCTCTCATGAAAGGTGATACTAGGAGGCAGGTTTCATCTGGAACTAAAATTCAGAGAAGTGAAAAAAAATTGGGGGGCCTTATCTGAGTGAGTCTGTGATAGAGGCAGAGAAAAATACATTAAGATTCCGAGTTCCAGAAGCTAGGGAGATCTGAAGGGCATGAACAAGTTATTTTTTTGTTTGGGTCAAAAGATAAGAGATTAAGTTATTGTGAATAATTTAGTGAATAAACTAGCAGATGGTTTCTTTCTGCTAAAGGCAGGAGAGGGGTCAATATGTTGAGAACATTTATTTATTATTTTCACGAATATTTTTGAGTATTTTTATGAGGGGCAGATCCAGGTTGTGTTGGTCTTGAAGCTTATACAATTTAGGAGTCCCTCTTTAAGAAAAGGAACACAAAAATTTAAATACAAAAATGAGATACATCATCTTAGAAGGAGCATATGCAAGTGAGGTTCCCTGAAGTTTAGGTTTCATTAAATTCGCAGTAAATTTCAACCTTGGAGTGTTTCTTGTATGCATAATGGGCAACTAGTGTTTTGCTTGCTTAGTTTTTATTCTCCTTTTTCTAATGATAGCAACTTAAATTTCCTATGAGAAATCAGTCCTCTTTCACTTTTTGTCCACATGGTTCAGCGTGTGGGCATATGATTCAAGACTGACCAGTACAAATACTGCATCTCAGTGGCCACAATGACTGGTTTAATAATGGTTATAAAATCTAAGCTGGACCAATGAACTTTAGCATTGGGACTTTTGCTGGAACTATTAGGTTGAAAGATATGAAACTGCCTTGATTCAACCATTTTGACCTACATAAATAGCAATTTTATATGTTTCAACCTAATATTTAGTTTTTTTTCTTTCCGTTGGGTTGGTAGATTGGTAAGATGCAAGCTGGAATTTCTGGTGGCTACTTTTGCCATTCCTGGTCAACTCACTGCCTGAGATCTAACCTCTAGGATCAGAATGAAGAGATGGAGAGATATTGATTCTTAATTATATTATGTGAGTTTGTAGACCATCCCTGCTGTAAGTCAAACTACACCTGCAGTTTCAGTTAGGTGGACCAGAAAATTTCCTTTCAAATTAAGTCAGTTTTATTTGGATTACTACCACTTGCAACCAAAGGAGTCTTGATTAAAATAATGTGTAAAGAATAATTGTGAAAAAGTATAGGATACATCAAATCAATACATCTAATACTTATTAAATGTTTACTATGAGCAAGGTACTACATTAATGACAAAAGAAATATAATAAGAGTAAAGATATGATTCTTCTTTTTAAGGCACTTACACTTGGGAGATAAAATATACAGTCAAGAAACCACTAAGAACAATAAAATATGTAATAGAGTTACTTTTTGCTATATAT